TGTGTGTGTGTGTGTGTGTGTGCGCGTGCACTATGTACCCTTGTTGTCGTCTAGTAATCTCGCCAGTAGGGTCTCTCTCTCTGACTGCAGTTCTTTGCTGATGGTGGGACGTCTTATCAGCTCCTTATGTTTCAGAAATACCTGTAATAGCTGGGAAATAAATACACACAGGCAAATCCAGTAAGTTAACTCATCAGCGTACACCCACACAATATTTCACAGTCTGAGCTGAAGTGTGATGTTTCACTACCTGTTGTGGGTTGTCCTGTACATCAGCTATATAGCTCTTCAGTCTGCCAGCAACCTCCTGCTCTGATGGAGCCATTAGACGCTCAAACTGAGCCACTGCTGCTCTCCAAAGAGGCTATAAAAACACAAAATAATCAGAGTAAGCACTGATCGCTATTATTAATCCTCTGCACTTCATGATCACTGATGATGATCATTCCTTCTCTATCTATCTATTCCTGTCTCTGTCATTTCCTTCATTGATCAGCTTCTCAAAGTACTCTTTTCATCTTCTTAACACAATCCTGTCACTTTTAAATACATTCACAGCTCTATCTTTAACCATCCTAACCTGCTGCACATCCTTTCAAGCCAATCTAAAGAAAGCCCCTTTTATCTTCCTTAGCACCAAGCCTTACATACAATTCACTATAAGCTTTTTCATTTACCTGTCTACTATTCTTCTTCTTCTTGACAATCCCAATTTTTCTAGGATCTCTACTTCCTGCGGAAGCTGAGAAAAGCCCATCTCCCACCATCCATTCTCACCACCTTCTACAGAGAGAGAGCGTCCTGAGCAGCAGCATCACTGTCTAGTATGATAACTGCACCAAATTGGATCGCAATACCCTACAACAGATAGTGAGAACAGCTAAAAAGATCATTGGAGCCTCTCTTCCCTCCATCACAGACACTTATCGTAACCGCTGCATCTGCAAAGCCACCGCCATGTGGAGGACCCCACACACCCGTCACATACACTTTTCACCCTGCTGCCTTTTTGCAACAGGTACCGTAGCATTCAGGCCATCACTGCCAGACTGCGAAACAGTTTCTTCCCCCAGGTCGTCAGACTCCTGAACACTCAGTGACTGGACACACACACACACACACACCTTCATACACGTCACTACCAATCACTTATCGGCAGAATCTCATACACACACACACACACCTTCATACACCAAGTGACTTTTTGCACAATACTTAATCTTTTGCACATTTCTATTGCACTGTTTTGTGTCTATATCATCCTGTTCTGTTGGGTGTTGGACTGTCTTTATTTTTGGGTTTAGTTTTTTTTTTAATTTATGCACATTGCACTTTATGTAATCCTTTGTTGATTGTCTGTTATATGTCATATGTAGCACCATGGTCTTGGAGGAACGTTGTCTCGTTTCACTGTGTATTGTACCACTGCACATGGCTGGAATGACAATAAAGCCACTTGACTTGACTTTTGTTGGACAACCTCTTTCTTTGAATAACTTCCTGTGCTTCCTCATTCCACCACCTAGTGTCTTTATCTACCTTCACTGGTTCTGAACACACTAAATATCTTCCTGGAATTTGGTTTCTATCACCAGTTCAGCTGTACTTTCCCAGCCATCTGGTAGCACGTCTCTGCCACACAGAGCCTATTCAGTGGTAAATGTGGTTTAAACTGTGATTCTTCAGAAGTGATAAATACCAATGATTCACTTAAACTGCTACTACTCGGTCTACCACAATCAACAACAGTTGCATACAGATGACAGAAACAAGATACACAGACACGTGAAGTTCTTTATATCTAACCTCTGTATAAGGGTTGTAATGCAGAGGGTTGAGCCCAGAGAATGGTTCGAAAACACGCTCTACAGTCAGAGCCTGTTGCTTCGCTCCTGGTAGCAAACACAGCAGCTTCTCATGAACCACACGTAGAGTCACAACCTGGAAAACATAAACAGAAAAGTGTACAGTGTGCACATCAGTGTCCAATATCCATTCTCACAAGAGTCACAAGAGTGAACAATATGACTTGTGACTTCTTAGTGTAGAGTAACAAACATCCATGTTCCATCCATGGAAAACAGGGCAGATAAAAAATAGTTGTCAGAAAAAAAGAAGAGGAAATAGGCATCTGTGTGTATGTGATAGTGGCTACATGTGTTTCAATTAATAAAACCTTTCTGAAATTAAAAACAAAAATAATCAAATACTCTATTTAATAACAGGTCTTCTTTATAAGAGACTGACAACTTAGGAAATGACAAAACTTAGGCCTGACTGTATTTTAACAAGAGCTCAAAAACAATTTTAATCTCTTTTACTGGCCTTATATTACACTTTTTTGTGTTCTGTTCTTCAGTAGAAAACATGCAAGGGAAAATTCCACTTTGAAAAATGTCACGTCTGAAAAAGTAGCAAGAAGGAAACTGATTATTAAAAGTGTGTCTGTAAGTTTCATTTAATCGCTGTATTCAAAGCAATCAACAAAGAGGTTGTGCAAGAACAAGCAAAACAAAACAAAAATTCTGCCTGTTCTAGTTAAAGTAAACAAGAAGTGTTCTGGAACAGAGCCACAGTTTACTTCATTCAATCTGTTTGCGAGGCATTGCAGGGTTTCCGGGGAGTGTTTGTTTCCCTTCCAGGGGTGGGGGGCATGTCTCTTCCACACCTGAGGAAAAAATAACAAAAATGATTTAACAGGTTTCCGGGACTGAACACAAATCATCTTCATCTGGCTTTTAATTCACAAAATTAAGAAACAGTATCTGTCAAATTTTACACACTATTTCCAGCTTGAAGAAAATAGATTTCTTACACCATTCAGTACATTTGGAGAGTATTCACAGCGCTTCACTTGTTCCATATTTTGTCACGTTACATCATTATTTTAAACTTGATTAAGTTCAGTTTTCACCTGAAGATTTCACAGACAATACCCCATAATGACAAAGTGACAAAAGTTTCTGTGAAATTTTAGCTGATTTATTAAAAATGTGTAACGTGACAAAATGTAGAACAAGTGAAGCCCTGTGAATATTTTCCAAAGGCACTGTTATTTTTTCTCATTTTCTGAAGCTTCCCGTACCTGTCCAGTTAAATGCTCACAGGCTACAACCCACTGTTCACAGATGGCAAAACCCGTTCTCAGGTTCTCTCTCACTAAAACAAATGGTTCCTCAAAGATTTTAAGACCACTCAGCTTCCTCTGGACAAATCTCCCCAGGGCCCCGCCTTGTACAGGTAGATATAAAGAAATGCAAAAAGAAGATTAAGAATACAGTTGCTACATGCATATGCGTATTAAAAAAAAAACCCAACAATTTAAAAAAGATTTCACAGGCACATAACAGGTATATTTGGCAACATATTATCCAAAACCCAGAGGCCTCGATAGTACGTCACTGCAATCTAAAGCATGTAAGCATTTTATTTTTGGCATAAAGTACGTAATTGCAGTGCGTAGCAAGTACAAAAAAGGACATTTGTTTCAGTTCCCAAAATATGGCCAATTATTACTTTGTAATATAAGGAATAACTAAGTACTGTCATTGGCAAATATTTTCTCTCATTTCCCTTTTTTGGTTTGTGTGTGTCTGAGAGTCCTACCGATGACATCCATGAGGCGGACCATGCGTGTCTCTGGGTAAGGGTCGTAATCAGTCTGCCTCCAAATGTCATCCAGAGCATCCCTGCTCTGTTCCACCAGATCCATAACATCAGACATAGACAGGCTATCGAGACCATCGTATTCCTGGTGGCAACACAAAGAGACCAGTGATCATTTTTAGTTTCCTCCCGGTGTGTTAACAGCTATGTAATAGTAACAAATTACTGTTGAAAACAGCACTTATACAGTGCTAAGCTTTAAAGATTTTAAATGTCTAAATTTGTCATATTGTAAATAACATTGCTTTACCAGCTTATTTATAGAATGATTGCTTAGTACAGTAACAGAATACTTCTCATCTCATAGTTTAATTACCTTCCCCCCTTTGTACAAAAATTATATTTAGCATCATATAAATGTATTCATTTTTATTTGTATTCATTTTTTAAATGAGTAAGTCTTGATACATGCATTCATACCTTTTGTATTGGTTTGAAGTGCTCAGTGAAATGTTGAGCTCTTTCTCTCAAACTACTCTTCTCTGCAGACTCTGAGAGATCTGCCCAGTACTGGAACTCATCGCTGGGAGTCAGGATGCCTGCAGAGTGTAAGAAATATGATGTACAATGTCTAAAAGTCATAACGTAATCAGCGATACACAAAATGATATACACATACTCGCAAGATGTTTTACCACTCATAATGCATATGATTACATCGCTCCAAAATCCAACAATTTAAAAAAACTATCATAACCATTCATTAACACCCTTTCTGCTAAAATATACTCTACAAACAATATGTGCGCATACCCACGACATCTTCCTCTGTGCGACCCTTCTTGGCAGAAGGTTGTGTCCCAGACTGGCGAACTACTGAACCCAGACCCAGCTCCAGCTCACTCAGGAGGCCAGCCAGTTTAGGGTCAAATGCAGAACGCCAACGCTCATCCTTAAGAGAACAAAAGGAAAGTTTAAAAAAAAAAAAACAAAGAAAAAAAAAACTTTCTTTCTTAGTCTAACTACAGGTAAAGATTTTTTATGTAACATATCTGGAACCCCTCAATGCACAGGGACAGACTCACCTTTAGCAGTACAGGTGCGAAAACCTGTCTGACAGCCTGATAGAGGGTGTTAATGGGAGACTCCAGCATGGATGAAACCAGAAGGCTGTGATGAAGGTTATCTTCTGTGATCACTGTGGGACGCAGCTTGAAGAACACCAGCACATTCTCTCTAGTCTCCCCCACAGCTTCAATCTGTGTCAAAGGATGGAGTTGTTTTTTTTTATTAAAAAGGCACTAAACCGTCAAGTCAACACATGGAAGGTAACTGTACAGAACATCAAATAACATTTTGTTATTCGCCCCTCCAATTAGCACCTCTGTGTCAGACAGAGACCACAGGTCAGAGCCAGAAAAAGGTGCCCACCCTAGGTTGCAAATTAGTTTTTGCCTCAAGTGGAGAAGTTCAAGTATATCGGATGTTGTTCACAAGTGAGGGGAGAGTGGAGCAGGACACTGACAGGCAGACTGGTGTGGTGTTGGCAGTGAGCAGACATTATACTGGTGGGCTGTGGTGAAGCGAGAGCTGAGCATGAAAGGAAAGTTGTTGCTTTACAGCTTTCCCTTTTATATAAGGACCAAAGTCTAATCAAACCATCTAGAGAGGGATGTCTAACATCTCTACTTCTGCTGCCTCTTTGATGAACACCCAGATAAGTTGGAGAAAGTGAATCATGTATAAAAAAAAAACCAAATCAATTTCTTTGTTAAGTTGATATTTAGAGATATAAATATTAATTGCATTAATATATTTATTGATAATTCGTTTTTAAATATTGATTAGATTTAAAAATGTTATAGATTTAAACACTGCATCAGTTCAACAACTATCGATGTGTAATGTGACCCTTAAGACAAATGGTTTTGCATTTTAATAACTTTTTTTTTTAAAGAAAACTTACCTTATTTGATAAGCGAAGGTCATTGTCATGTCTGCTGACAGATAAGACAAATTCATTTCCATCATCTAAGAAGTTATTGAGCTCGGGGCTGTCAGTCAGTGATGATGATGGCTTTAATCCATAGAAGTTTCCAGTTGTGGTCAGAATAAACTTCTTGCGGACATCATCTGAACCATGTGGCATCTTTCTGCTGGAACTAAAATACTGGCAGTGAGAAAGTAAAGACATCCACATATAGGGATAAATAATTGTAAAGGAATACGTCTTTAAAGAGTAAACAAAATTTTATTGCTTATCAAGCAAAGATCTTGAGACTAAATAAAAAAAAAAAACAATAATTAAAAGTAACCATAACGAGTGGCTTTGATATACATGGTTATTCAGGATAATCTCGCCTTTTTGCCGTTTTATCCAGCAAGAAATATGCCTTAATATCAAATACTATCAAACTAGAGACGTTACATTTCTATTTGAACAACCTAATGTTGGTAAACCCCCGAAACCTTTTACATTCACTGGTTCAGTGTCCAGCTAGAGGTTATTGGGTAGGATTTAGAGTCGCTGAACTGACCCAGTGCTGACATCCCTGCTAAATTAATAGCCGTTATCTCTGTGTTTGCGCTGAAACATCGTTAGCACATCAAACCACTAGCTTTTTTCGTTTTGTTTAAAATCAGACTTGTGCCTGGAGAGCAGCAGTACCAGGTTGTGGCAAAGGAATGGCCACGGGCAGAGTAAACCATCAGCTAATAGCTAACACTAGCTTTGCCTGTGTACATTAAAGTGCAGTGCATCAGTTCGCTGGCTCACTTTCGGCGCACAGTCAAGCTACAGAATATCTGGTTTTATACCGTTACGTCTCCAAAAGAAACCAAACTCCGAAAGCTTCTGAATGCTTAATCCATGGTTTGAAGTTTCAGCAAAATTACCCCTCTCTGTCTGTAAGGGAGTTCGCCAATGCTAGTGTCGTTGCCAGGTAACAACGACGAGCTTTTGTATCACGTGACACAGCTATTCCTACGTAGTTTTTATGCGGCATTTACGTATGCGGCCACATTAAATTAGATGTTTGTTTTGCTTTTGTTTACCACATAGAAATGTTAGAATGCAATAGTATTTATTGCCTTGTTACTTTAATAGTAGAGTAGTATATGCTTGCGATTCGGCTACTGTTTTAACGGCGACATTCCGGAAGCTACGCAAGCAGATTTAGATTTTCAAACTAAAAGACCACGATACAGTTTGTAAAATACTTGTAGTCTTATCAATCCGTGCAGCGAACTGAGCGAAACCGCGACGGCAGCTTCAAAGACAACAAAGCAGTGTAGTCCAGGAGTTAGCTGGAGATTGCAAAGCTCTTGTTATAGCGGACGTCGTCACAGTAGAAAAAGTGTAGGTTTTATATTAGCATTAGGAAATGGTCAGGTGGCCTATTGTGAGCCAGTGTGAGTTGCAGAGGTAAGAAACCTTAAATAAGCATGCTTCTGTGTAAGAATAATGTTGCAAAGGATTCAAAACAATAATGACGCGTTTATTAATCTTATTTAGTAAAGAAAGTGGGACAAATTGTAGACGTTAGGTGTATGCTGCCCCCCCCCCTCCACGTTTGCTGTGTGCACTTTAATTTCCACACAATTTAATTTAAGAACAATGTAAGTAAGCTGTGTTAACTGAATCAGTATTGTTTTATCTAATGTGGCTAGCTTCTTCTTTAAGACAAAGGTTCCCTGCCAGACATAAATTACTCATCCTAGACTGACCATTTTCGGTCTTGGATAAGGAACTCATACTTGTAAACATGGCGAAAACCACTTCACAAATAGGGATTCCCTTCTGTAAGTAGTTTCGTTTCTTTCACTGACTCTGTGTTGATTCATTTGGCACACACTGTGCTCATATCGCGTTGCGCATTTACATCATGAATGAAGATATTGTTATATATGAAAGTAAATATGTTACAAAATTGCAACTTATCTTTAATGCTGAGAAGCTAGTAACACTGAAACACTGACAATCAAATCTGCGGTCACACATTTTCTCAAATCACTGTCTAAAGCAATCTTTTCCGTTATACGAGTTCAAGTCAATTTTGTGTTCAGTCTTCAATCACTCAGTTACTAATACAGCACGTGCAGAGACCCTAAAGTGGGACTGATGAATCAGGGTGGCAAGAGAGGAACTGTGGTACTATATGAGGATGTCAAGAATGACAAAGAAATATGTGAGTGTGGTACAGGACATATATGAGGACAGAGAGATAGTGGTGAGTGCCACAATATAAGTGACACATTGGTTTAAAGTGGGGATGGGACTACATCAAGGGCAGCTCTGAGCCCCTTCTTGTTTGTAGTAATGATGGACAGGTTGACATACACTACTAGTCAAAAGTTTGGACACACCTTCTAATTTAATGGTTTTTCTTTATTTTCATGGCTATTTACATTATAGATTCTCACTAAAGGCATCAAAACTATGAATGAATGAATACTGAATTTTGTAGTAAACAAAAAAAGTGTGAAATAACTCAAAGCATGTTTTATATTTTAGATTCTTCATAACTGCCACCCTTTGCTTTGATTACAGCTTTGAGTACTGGCATTCTCTCGATGAGCTTCATAAGGTAGTCACCTGAAATGGTTTTCCAACAGTTTTGAGGGAGTTCCCAGAGATGCTGAGCACTTGTTGACCCTTTTGCTTTCACTCTGTGGTCCATCTCATCCCAAACCATCTCGATCAGGTTTAGGTCTGGTGACTGTGGAGGTCAGACTATCTGGCGCAGCACTCCATCACTCTCCTTCTTGGTCAAATAGCCCTTACACAGCCTGGTGTGTTTGGGGTCATTGTCCTGTTCAAAAATAAATAGTGGTCCATCTAAACACAAAGCGGATGGGATGGCATGTTACTGCAGGATGCTGTGGTAGCCATGCTGGTTCAGTGTTCCTCAATTTTGAATAAATCTCCAACAGTGCTACCAGCAAAGCACCCCCACACCTGCTCCTCCATGCTTCATGGTGGGAACCATGCATATAGAGATCATCTGTTCATCTTTTCTGCGTTGCACAAAGACACGGTGGATGGAACCAAAGATCTCAAATTTGGACTCATTAGATCACTTCTGCACAACACAAATGATGGTCCCAAGCCCATTAAGAAGGCAAGAAATTCCACAAATGAACCCTGACAAGGCACACCTGTGAAGTGAAAACCATTTTAGATGACTACATCATGAAGCTCATTGAGAGAAGGGCAAGGGTTTGCAGTGCCGTCAACAAAGCAAAGGGTGGTTACTGTCAAGAATCTAAAATATAAGACATTTTTAGAGTTATCTTTTTTTTCTTTGCTGCATAATCCCATATATCTTGCTTCATATATTATCTTCATCATCTGATATCGTCAGTATGCATCTACAATGTAGAAAGTAGTAAAAAAAAAGAAAAAAAACATTAAATGAGAAGGTGTGTCCAAACATTTGATTAATAGTGTATGAGGTCAGATGAGATCAAGCAGGAGTCTCTGTGAACTATGATGTTTGCAGATGACATTGTTATACATAGTGAGAATAGGGAGCAGGTGGAAGACAACCTGGAGAGGGGGAGGCATGTGCTGGAGAGAAGACAAATGAAAGTCAGTAGAAGCAAGGCTGATTACATGTATGTGAATGAAAGAGAGACAGGTGGAAAGGTGGATCAAAGTCAGCCATCCAGTGCACAAGACGGGTGAAAAAGTGAGTGCAGACTGGGTGTGGCTGGAGATGAGTGTCAGGGGGTGATTTGTGACAGAAGAATAGCAGCAAGAGTGAAAGGGAAGGCTTACAAGAGGGCAGTGAGACCTGCTGTGACGTTTGGTTTGGAGAGGTGGCACTTACAAAAAGACAAGAGGCAGAGCTGAAGGTGGCAGAATTGAAATTGTTTTTCATTTTCATAGTGTATGAACTGAATGTACAGGATTAGAAATGAGTATATCAGTGGGACAGCTCGGGCTGAGCGGTCTGGTTAGAGAGGCAAGGCTGAGATGGTTTGGACAGGTGCAGAGGAGGGAAAGTCGATATATTGGATAAAGGATGCTGAATATTGAGCTGCCAGGCAGGAGAAGAAAAAAAGAATGCCACATAAAAGATTAATGGATTTAGTGAAGGAGGACAAGGTTGGTGTGACAGACGAGGATGCTAGAGATGGGGTGAGATGGAATTAGATGATCTGACTTGGATTGGTAGACATGTGTAAATCGTGGTCATCATTTTTTTAGGGAGTATAAGCACATTTAAATGGCTTATACTGTTGCCATAAACATGCAGCTTTATGCAGGGACGCCTGTAAAATTATTTTAACAGAGATATTCAGCCTTTCCTTGGTGTGAGGGGAGTTTCACACATGGTACGAGCTGATTTGTTTAATGTCTTGTTTCAAATCTTAGAGCCTTTCCTCCCACATAGTGCTCATTGCCAGCACGTTTCTTTTTCACCAAGCAAGTAAGACAAAGTTTCAAGGTAGTATGTAGAAGATCTTTATATGAAAGTTGTAAGAAACATTTTCATTGTTTTGTTTTCTCCTTAGAAGCTCATGCTTGATATCAACTTTTTAATATGCGGAAACGACTTCATCAGCTTTATACTTTATAGCTTCACATAAGTAGCTTTTGTTCCACAGTTATGTATTTTATGTGCATTAAATCAATAATAAATATTCCTTTTCATTAAAGATTTGTCATCTAAATGTTAAATGAAAAGCATAAGGATGAGTCATTTACAAACAATACTGCAGTTTCTTAAATTCTCCCTGGATACATTAAAAAATTCCCACATTATCTGATAAATCTTTTCCACATTGTTTCGTTATTAAATCCGAGTATATTTGCCAGGTGCTGTGGAGAATTCTTTTCTCTAAATGGGTGTGTCAGTGACCTCATGGCCTCGTGAGAAATTGCCGGCCCATCTTGGGTATTCCCCCTATTCCTCGCAGCTAGACACTCCCCCTTTTAACCGAGGCCACTCTAACCAACGTGTTTTGAAAAGGTCAATGCAAAGGAAAACAGAACTTTTACAAGAAACATCCCAAATAATTTCGTATGAACAAAATGTTTATTGAGCTAAAGCTCACTTGAAGGGAAATGCTTTGTGTGTAAATCTTTATCATTTACATGTTAAATTTAAACAATAACCTTTCTAATACACTAGAAATGAGAAAATTGTCCACCTGGAAATGTCATATATGGAGAAATAATCAACTAATAATTGTGTCATCAGGAACATTGTAATTATTTAACAAGAAAAACAAAAGAAGTTCTAGAAAAGTTGGCAAGAATTCAAAGAACATAATGTCAATGTGAAACACTTTGTGGTTAGTCAAAGAGATGATATGAAAAATCAGAGGTGGGCGTGTACTGTACACTCACAGGTCACTGCCTGTAATAAAACGTCAAAAGCCACAGAGAAAGTCCATAACTTGGCCACACAGAAAGCCACAGTCTTTGTGTTTGTGTGCGTTAACCAAGACTTCTCTCCAGTTTTAGCGAATGTCAAGTACATAGGTCTCCAAGTACATAGTCACATAGGTGGCACAATGAAACATTCACTGTAGTCTGTCAAACAAAGTTACACATGTTAGCTAAGATTCAAAATGAAAATCATAATGAATATTGCATGGTGTTTCATCTAAAGCCTTTTTTTTTTAAAATGTGAATTTTTATTGTGTTACAACAATAAAACTGGGGTGCTTGCTTATGTCTGTGTTACTGTGCAACCTAAAAGAAAATATCCTTTTCCTACATTTGGTGAAATTTGACTGAAGTGCATTGATGTTCCTGGCAATACCTTAAAAGGGCTAATAAACTAAGGTTAACTTTGCTCTTTAGTTTCTTTATTTCTCATTTATACAGTCTGTTACCAGGAGAACTATTTGGGATTTCTTCAGAAGCATTTCTGTCACATGTTCAGATGAGCCAGAAATTGATGCATACGGAAGTGTTTTAGGCTGATTGTATTACCACATAAAAAAGCAGGCACGCACAGACACACACACACACCCACACACACAATCAAAATCTTCACAGCTGTGTAATTCTTTATAAGGCTTGTTGATTTTGCCAAGTGAAAGAGGCAACGATTTGATTTAGATTTTCTAGTTATCGTTAACTACATTTTCAAAACAGTAATCATGCCTTTAGCCTTTATGCTAGTATGCTAGTTGTTACTACCATATGAAATAGAAAAAGGAACTGAGATGTGGCTCCTCCCCCCGCCCCCTCAGCATACCAGACTAGTTAACGAGTTTACGTTCATGTAGCATTCATTTTAACACAGAGAGCACAGCAGCATGATGGTAAGTGTTTGCGTCATTTGAAGTTTGATAATGTCACATACTTAAACAGTGTTTGAATTGATTAGGGCTGCCATCATCGTTCATGCTTATGCTAGATGATAATAATAATGTGAGTCACTCAATATGTAAGCTGTTGTGTAAACAATCGAGGCTATGTGAAAGTGACAGAGAAGCGGAGTGTGCAGGCATGTGTGTCAGGGTCTCGGTGTTTACATTGCTTTAATCTAGCTTGCCTCAGGAGCAGTGAACAAATTAACAGTTCGGTTGTAGCTTGAGCTGAATAAGTGTTCAACTGAAACTAATACTCAGATCACGGATACAATGGCAGAAATAGGCTTTCCTCGAAAGGAGGATGGCTTCTCCCTTAGAGATACGGTGAGGAGTTCAGCCGTCAGAGAGGGGCTCAAGGGTAGACCCAGGACAGAAACTCTCGGCTGGCCTGGGAACGCCCCGGTGTTCCCCCGGATAAACTGGAGGAGGTAGCTGGGGAAAGAGGGAGGTCTCGGCGTCCTAGGGCTGCTGCCCCCGCGACCTGTCCTCGCGGAAAAGCGAAAGATAGGTGGATAGCTGGATGGATAGAAAAGAACAAAAATGGCATGGTAAAGTGGAAACTGCATCCAGGACAGAAAAAATATACTGCTAATACAACTCTTTGTAACCAGCTGCACAGACAGCATGCGTATTGCAAAGCTAGCAAAGAACCGAGAAGGGTTTTATAGCTAAATGAATGCGGATAACCGGAAGAAAATGGATGGCTGTATAGAGGGATGAATGCTTCTCAGGAAATGTGTTTAAGCTCTGGAGTATAAATTGTGACGGTAATGGTAACGACTAGTATAGATGTGCTCTCAAAGAGAAAGCAGAGAAAAAAATCCTGAGCGTTTAACACAGATAAACAGATAGACATTCATATGTATATACATATATCGAAATTGTTACATGTAGATATTTTTTCAGCACGACTGAATGTCTGTGTGACTGTACAACCTTTCTAGAAAAACGACTTTAGTATGAAACAGTGTGTCCACCATGCATGACACAATTGTGAGTTGAACCCAAATAATTATGAGAATGAGAAAGGAAAGAGAAAGTAACTTTTGTGTTTTGTCTATCTCTGGGAAAAACAAAGGTCAAGTGCAGAAAGTGTCAGCATTAGAAGACAAACAGAGCCACTCCACAGAATTCTTTACAGTCTGGCTTGTTGTTTAGTATCATTTAGATTAAAAAAATCTAAAAAGAAGAAGATGAGTCATGAAACTCCATATGGATGAATTCAGCTGATTATGTGAACCAGGTGTGAGGTTTTTAATTTGTAAGACAAAAGGGGTTTAGAGTAGAGTATGTGTGTATGAGAATAGCTCAGCAGAATGAGTGTTCTCTCCAATCATTACGTCAGGGGAATTCCCATGTACTGCAAAGCCTTGCTGATTAATGCTGTTCAGTTTGCATGGCAGTGTAGTGATAAAGCAGAAGTTGCAAACACAATAATGAAAAAAGGAAAACAAAATACAATCACAGATTGACTTGCAAAACAGAATCAGAAATTCTATTTTTAAATATACTTGTAAGTACTGTAATTTGCATTAGAGTTTGGAGGTGTGCCCTGTTGTTTTAACATCAAAGATCTGTAAATTATTTTATGTAACATTATATCAAACAAAATGCTATTCACAGCTTACTCTCACATGTCTCATTAGGGAAATGTTACCACCCTCCCCCAATGGCCACATCAGAGTTGGATAAAATTGTCACTTAATTTGAGTCCTTGATTTAAAAAAAAAGAAAAGAAATCCATCTGCATTAGTATCACTTCCACAGTTCATTTTGTATCAGTATTCCTGAAACTAAATACACCATGCAGTTACTTGACCTTTGGGATTTCCCTCTGTTTTTATTTCAACTTATGACAGTCACTGCTGCTAAATGGCCACTCGTGAAGGGTAGGGGTGTTTCCACTGGTCAGCCTCTTTAAAACACCTTCACTTCAGATTCTTACTGACAATGTGGAGAGAAGCATATGTGATTTTTTTTTTGTGCTTTATCCTATTACACCATATCCTACAATTGAAACAATCCCAATTTGATTTTCCAAGTGGGAATTTCCTGAGATTTCTGATCACTGCCAGCAAAGTCACATAAAAAAAAAGATCACTTCCTCATGAATAGTTTTAGAAACAATTTCAAGTGAAACTAGTTCATCAAAAACAAAGTCTGTGCTTCTTGTTGGAGGAAACAAACTGATCTATTTGTTTATTATATTTCATTTTTTATTTTTCCAAATTTATATAACACAGGGGAGGATATGTAATAATCTGTGCTTATGTGGTTAGCATTTGGTTCCTATGATACCAAATGCATAGTAAAAGAAAACTAAAATGTTGTTTTCTCCTAGCAGGTACAGGAATACACCCTTTTAGAACAAGCCCTCTCTTATACTGACTGGGACTTTCCTTTTGCTTCTTGTATACTGAAAACCATTTGGGTGTGTTCTTTCAGGATGAGACAGCCTGTTTTCCCCCAAAACATGACTGTAAAGAGCCAGTCAAATGTTTCAAATAAGATTCTAGTTCACTGAAAGGGTAGGATTGGGTGGGTTTCGGGGCTGGGTGTTTGATATCGCCCTTGTGTAGCATTAATGATATTTTAAGACAAAACAATCATTCTTCTGACAAATGACAAATGTAAATGGTGAGAAATCACTGCATGCAAGTTATTTTTGAGTGTTCAGGTGTACATGTGCCACTTGATGGCATCTCACACTACATTTCATTTCAGTGATTAACCAGTTTGTCTTTCTAACAGGCGTCTACCTGGAGCCGGTATCATTTTCTGTAAGTAATGCTCCGATTTTCTATTCATTCTTATCATGATTTCAGCACAAGGCAGCGTGTGGTTAGGGCACTTTTGATATTTTAACACCCAGTCACATGTTCCTGTTATTAACTGTTGCTATGATACATATCCATGTGCCACTGTTGTGACTGGACTTGTAAGACTTACAGTAAGTAAGGCCCAAAAGGATTACTAGGAAGTAACTACAAACATGCTTTAATTTTGGAATGTAATTTTCTGGTGTTCTGATTTTAAAAGCAGTTTCCTCCTATATATCTCCTGTTACTTAAATATTATATTATTAATTATTTATAGTAGCTAGTTATGGACATCAATGTAAGGTTAATGTGAAAGCTTATGGATCCAGACATGAGTTTGTAGCCTTCCCACTGATCTCATGTGTGCGCTTGTGTTGTTACTTGAACTGAAAAGAGAAGTGATCATTTTAGCTTTAAAAAGTTGGTGACAGAAGAGAGCAAATCTGGCTCAAGTTCATTATCTGTGTTTTACGATCATTGCTTGGCCACAGATGTTGTTTACTGAACTGTCTCAGTTATTTCCTGGTTGTTGTTACTGTCAGCTATCTCAGCTATCTCAGCTATCTTTAGGCACTGACGCAAAAAAAGTGTGTGTGATTCTTTATCTCTGCGTGCCACTTTAATCATTCACCCTTTTCTGTGTTCCTAGAACTCAAAGGTTTTCCCTTGATCTGCTGCTATCTCTAGTTTTGACGCTGACTTGGCCCTTCACTGTCACAGGTGAGCAGTTCTGCCAGCAGCACTCGTTCATTGTGGTTAAACATAGAAACCAGTTGTTTATTACATGAATAAGAATGTGTGATATGACATATGCTTGGTTGCACATCACTAGCTAAGGAAAGAAAGCAAAACGTGTGCTCCCCCAACTCAGATTTACAAAACTTTAATTTTTTCTCAGTTTGATGGAGTGGTCTTATGAAGAAGTTAAACTTTTTAGGAGATTTCCTTTCTTTGTAAAAGGTGAATATGTAGATCAATGCTATTCGCACATCTTTGTAATGAATAGGAAGCTGCCAACCACATGACTGGACGAGCCATTACAGCAGCACCCAATGCTAACACAAGCTAAGCTAATGGGTTTTTGGTTTTAGCTTCAAATTTAGTGTATAAACACGAGTGTTGACTATTTCTTCTCATCTGACTCTCACCAAAAAAGCAAGTAACCCAGTTTTCCAAACTATTCTCTATGTCTTCCTTCAGAATATTATAGCTTTCCTGTCTTAGTCCCTTTAATGTTCAGTTCAGTTTCCAGCTACCAGTCCAGCCCAGAACTGCTGGAAAATGCAATAAGCAGAAAAATCTAAATATCTGGAAGCTAAAGCCAGAGATGTTTTCTTACGAGTTGGTAGATAATCAGTCAAAAACACTCACACTTCAAAACAGGAAAAACGAAATAGTTCTCTCCGTGTATTCTGCACAAAAAGGAAAGAGAAAAGAGCTTATGAAGAACTGAAATTAGCCTACCGCGTCATGCAGCGGAACTCTGCAGGAGCTTAAACAAAACCGCATGGAAACACATGTCTGCCCCAAAATAAAAACTGTTTGCACTCCCTTTAGATATTTTTTTTAATAAAAGATATATGCCCTAAAACTTCACCCCTGTTCCTTTTTTGTTTTTGTCTTTTTGTTTTTTTTAACAGGAGGTGCTGCTCTTCTCAAAGGGGAGGTCGGTGGAAATGTGACTTTTCACTGCTCTGGTAAATCAGTAAAGAACATTGACTTACTTTACCTCCAAAGAGACAACGTCTTTGTTAATGGTTATTATGAATCTAAAAAAGTACCAGCAACGTGGAACAACACAAAGTTTGATCGCAACACTTCATCTGTGTTCATGGATAACCTAAAGGTCTCACACAGTGGGGAATACAAATGTCACATTCGGTACAAAGACGAGCAGCATATTAACGAAGACTCAATAACCCTCAGTGTTACAGGTATTTATGTCTTCAATTCATCTCATGCAGTTCATTTTTATATGACCGTCAGTGTCAATAGACCTTTAAGATGAAGCGTTACAATAATGTAAAGTATGTGCATATAATATAAATATAAACAAAGAAAACAGCTGTTTTCTTTGTTTATATTCATATATACGCCAGTCCCTTTGTACATGTTGGAAACACCAGGCTGATATCACTTTCCCTGTGTCTTTCTTCTAGCAAAGTACAGCAGGCCTTTATTCAGTCCTCCAGTCTGCAGCGAGGAAACCCGGGGTCAGAATTGCCAGACAAGGTGTACATCAAATAATGGATACCCAGAATCCAGCATGATAGTTCAGGCTATAGTTACCAGCACTAATGATACCATCAGGCAGATATGGCAACATGTGAAGTCTGCCCCTTACCATAATCCAAGTACATTGCTGTATAACATTACCACCACTGTGAGTTATAACTGCTCGAACGGGGAGATAAAGTTCAGCTGCTCCGTGGGTGACGTCACTTCGGATGAGTTCTCAGTCTGTGAGTAGCCTATTCATCTCAGAAAAGACAATTATTTCTTTATCAAAGTAGTTCCCACAATTAGCTACTGGACAAGTTTTGGGAAGTTTGAAAGCCAGTGGAAATCTCTTGTCATATATTCCCTTTATTGTTTTATTTCATAGCAACATCCTCTTATTCTGTCAGCATTTGTGTGGCTGACACAGAACAGTTTAGGTTGAGTTTTGGTGATTTTTGAGATTTTTAAAACTTATGTGAGGCTACTAGATTACATTTTTCAGCAAGACGAATGAAAGTGACTGAATAGCAAAGCATTTCCTGCAGAATCAAACTCAAATTACTGCTGAGACTGACGTGATTAAATTACGTGCTGTATTTATTCTTAAACTGAGGTATTATGGAAATGTAAATTTTGTTTGAGCCTAATATATGTTTATTAATGCAACAACAGAGTGGGTGCGTGGGGGAAGTTCCAGGTTTTTTAGAGCTTTGCAGTTTTACTATACGACATGTTTTGACATATTAAATTATAATGATTGTTCCCTTTTCTTTCCTGATCATTTGCTTGGTGGTTTTTAATTTACCTTCATGTTAAAATAGTGAAGCTGTGACACTGTGAATACATTGTGGTTGCTGGGTTGATAACATCACAATATCAGCACTGACAGCAGTAGTAGTGTAGTATTACTGCTGTGCCCAATGTAAAAAGAAAGATTAAGTCTTTTCTGCATATGCTAAGAGTGTGCTATAAACGTTTTCCAGAATCAAGAATCATACAGTTTAATCATACAGTGGGGTTTGTACTTATGTTAGTTCTGTGAAAGGAATTCAGTTTAATTCAGATTTAAGGAAAACGATTAAGTTAAAACATTCGGCAGTTCATTTTCATGAAATCTAAATAGTTTAACTTGACCTTTAAGTTCCCCAGCATGGAAAAGTAAAGGCAGACATGCCTTGTTTTTAGTTCAGTTCACTTTTTTGTGTAAGTTCTTCAGGGTAATTAAATATAATAACTCTTTTTTTCTGTATTTCATAATATTTGTCATGTGGGGTTCTTTGTAATAATTTTTATTCTGATACATTTGTTCTCATTGATAGGTGCTCATCAGGAACAACACAGCACTGATATAGTAATTATGACAGCCATTTGTATACTGGTGGTGGTGGTCATGATTGCAGGTGTTTTGTGCTGGAGAAGACGGACAGGTGAGCACAGAGATTGCACACATGTGTAAAACTGCAGGGACATGAAAATAAGAGAATGAATAACTCAAAATGTGCAGAAACTCATGGCAGGCTCTGTGTTGTTTTTCAGGAGGCAGTATGAGGCTAGAGAGAGTAAATACAAATGAGGCGTAAGTAAGTGTTTAATTGTCTATAACAGTGTAGTCATAATACTTTGATTACACAGTAATCTGTGTAACTTTTCATAGAAATCAAAATTGTACTTTTGATTTCTGCTTGTAGATTAGAACAGATAGTGCTTTCGCTTTCCTTGTTCTTTCCTTCTGCCTAATTATTTCCTTCTGTGTTTTATTTAATCCAGGGTGGAAATATCACTTTGTGAAAAAAATGGAGAAAAAGAAGCTGCTTGAGGGGTGAACCAGTGAAGGACAACATTAAACCCACGTTCAAGGATCTAGAGCGACAGATATCGTCTCCTCTGTGTCAATTACACACTGTGATCAGCTGGTTCCACGCAAAATAGGAATAACCTCACCAGGCCTCGCCAAGAGTGAGTGACCCATCACCAGGAACTACATGCTATTAACATTTCACACTCAACACTTGTGACTTTTAGCGTTTGAGGAAGTATCATATCTTGTTCTTTTACTGGTGAAGCAAAGTGCGTCACTAAAGTGAGAATGGCTGACTTCACTATGCAAAAGCAAAAAAACAGAGACTTGATCAGCGGTGTGCGGTTAGGTTGTTGTTGAATACTGGAAAACTGTGACAGAAATACCTCCTGACGCCGTGTGACGATAGACGAAAAACAAGAAGTTAGAAGAATGATACATATGTATGTTTGTATTTGTATACTATGTATATGTGTACTTTGTTGTTACACCAACCACTGCGGGAAGAACCTGGCACACTCGCTACAATGGTCACTTGTGGACTATGAGTCATTTAAAAAAAAAAAAATACTGTCATTGCTGCACTTTAAAATCCCCTCCTGTACATTCCTTCTGTAGCCAATTTTTAATGTTTTTTCCCTAGATTTTTAAACAACAGTGTAAATACTATATATTTTTTTTATTTTAATAAACAAAAAAGAAAAGTCCACAGTCATCTTAGTGTTGATTTTTTTTTGGTTTTGTTTATTTTTTTTAATAGAATAGTACTACATTGGGGTCAGAAATAATAACTGACATGTACTGAAAAAATATGGATGAAGAAAAGCTGGAATTCAGAACATTTTGTGCAGATTAACTTGTAATTTTAAGCAAATTTTGTGTATTGTGCAGTAAGTTCCAGTATTTCCAGATTTCCTTGTAAGGTGCAATGTTGAATACAAGGGAAATGTGTTTTTTCTGTATTTTATTTAAATGGCTGTTAAACGTTCCCTAATGGGGGATATTGCGGTCTTCTCCACAATTCTGACGTTTTCTCAGGTGACTGTTCTCAGGTTATCACATGTAACCTTTTGTATGCTAATAAGCATAATATTTATTTCAGTCTAACTTTTACTTCCTTGAAGATATTTATCGGTGAAATGTTTGTGCTATTTACAGTTTTTGGTAAGAGGAGCCTGTCTGTTATTCCCCATTCCCTGGAATTACCAAAAATTCTCTAAAGGGTGTTTTCATTTCCTAAATTTGCTTGAAACACTCTTGTTCGGTGCCTAATTTATCTTTTCTTTTTGTTTTTAGAGTTTCAAATTCTGTCTGTGTCCCTTTTCAACCAATAAAAGTTGTGTAATTTAACTGAAGTTGTGAGAAGAGTTACACTCGCGCTTCACTACACCACAAGCAGCTTTAAACCTCCAAGTTCACCTTCAGCTGCTATGTAGTCAACTTGCCACTAGATGTAGTACGAGCACCACAAAATTGAGCTGACTCTTGCTCGCGTATATGATTGTTTTTTTCAGGTTTATGTGTACTAGTGTGTAAATGTTACTGAAATACCTCATGATCCCAAGCACACTTGTCTTAAGATGGCCTGTGAAACAAAGTTAACTTCCTTCTGCCTAAGAAGGAAACAGTGTTTAATGTGTAGTTATATCAGTGTTTGCACTTTCCTTCCCAGTACAAGAAAAGGTGGTGTCGAGTAGGGTATAGGGTAATTCCCTCACTATTAAGTCTTTGAGAGAGGAGACGCAAGTGAATATGGTGTACACATCACACTCAACAGTCTTTTTTCTATATACACCAAGTTTGTACCTACAGCCCTGTGCAAAAGTTTTAGGCGGGGGGGGGGATGCTGCAAACAAAGAACACTTTCAGAAATATAAATGATTGTTTATTGGCCCCAAATGTATTCTGCAGCAGGACGACAACCCCAATCATACAGCCAAAGTCATTAAGAACTATCTTCAGCGTAAAGAAGAACAGGAAGTACTGGAAGTGATCGTGTGCCACCCACATCATCGAGTGTGTCTGGGATTACATGAAGAGACTGAAGGATGTGAGGAAGCCTACATCCACAGAAGATCAGTGGTTAGTTCTCCAAGATGCTTGGAACAACCACCAGCCGAGTTTCTTCAAAAACTGTGTGCAAGTGTACCTAAAGAATGGATGCTGGTCATACCAAATACTGATTTAATTTAGATTTCTTTTTCTTGTTGATTGATGAAAATAAATGATTATTACTGCCGTTTTAAAAGCATTCTTTGTTTGCATCATTTTTTCTCACCTGCCTAAAACTTTTACACAGTACTATATACTCAGCAGCCATTTTATAAGTTACACCTTGCTAGTACCACATTGGACCCCCTTGAGCCCTCAGGAATTCCTTAATTTTTGATGGCAAAGTTTCAGCAAAGTGCTCCAAACATTCCTCTGAGATTTTTGGTCTATTATGACATGGTAGCATCACACAGCTTCTGTAGCTTTATCAGATGCTATCTATGATGTGAATCTATCATCACACTGCCTGGAAGATGCTCTATTTGATTGTGATCTATTGACTATTGAAGTCATTTGAGTACAGTGAACTCACTGTCATCTTAAAGAAACCAGTTTGAGATGATTCACCTTTGTGAGGTGCATTTTCTCCTGCTGGAGCAGACGTCAGGAGGTGGGTATGCTGTGGTTGCACATAGATACAGAAGGTCAGCAGTGATTCTCAGTTGGTACTAACAGGCCCAAAGTGTGCCAAGAAATTATCCTTCACAACATTACAGCACTTTGTTTGTACACGGCAGGATGGATCCATGCTTTCATTTTGTTTATAACAGTTTCAGACTCTGCCATCCAACGGTTGCAGCAGAAATTGAGACTCATCATACCAGCCAACATTTTTGACCAATCTTCTGTTGTCCAATTTTGCCGAGCCACAGTTTGTTGCTATTGATAGGAGTGGCATTTGGTGTGGTCTTCTGCTGTCCCACCTAAAGATACTACTGCCAGGAGACTGGGGGGTAGTACAAGTGGCAGGCAGTATTCTTTACATTTTATTGCTCCCTTATCGTTCTCATTTCTCCAGAAGCAGATTTTCTCTCACTTTCTCTCATCATGAGTCACTGTGACAGGCTGTCAGTCCACGTCTCTGCCCTGTGTTTACATTGCGCAGCAGAGCAGCACCAGGCTCGTTGCACTTCAGGAATGTAACCCCAAGGTCCGTGCCTTCCTTCTCCTGTTTTCCATTTTCTCCCCACTAACTTTCCCAATTTTTTCCTTCCATTCCTTCATTTTTTATTCCATCTTTGCAAAGACTCAACCCTTCCCTTTCTCCAGTCTTTCCTCTTCTACTCCCATCCTCCCAGAAACATCCTTTCCTCTGCCATCTCACCCCCTCCCACTTGTCCCATTCTCTCCTACTACCACCTTTCTCTTCTCTTTCCTTTACCAACCCTTTCTCCTTTCTCTTCGCCAAGCCTCCACTCCCTTTCTCACCCATGTTTTTCTTTTCCCCTTTTTAAAATTCAGAGCATTGTCCCCGCTCACTCACACCCCCTTTCCCCTGTCATCATCCCCTCACCTCCCACTCCGCCCCATCTCTGTCCTCCCTCCTCTCATTCCTCTGCTGTCTAACCCAAACAAACCAGGGAGGACCTTCCTCTCTGGTGATTGTAAGAGAAACACACCACATGTCAGAGTTGGTTTAAACATAAACATTAGTCAATCTGAAGTACTGAAAAAGAATATGAAGTACTTAAGTTCAGCATGAAGTGAAATTACTATTTTATGGTAAAACTAACCACCGAATAGACAACAATTAGAAAACAAAATGTCTTGGTGTATATAGGAAAAAGTTTATTCCCTTCTCCATTGTTCTGTTTAATGAACAAAAACACCACTTAATAGTACTACACGCTAGCCTACAAGGAAAACAAAAAAAAAAATCTAGTTTTCCCTTTGTTTATAAAGCACAAGTCTTTATAGACACATTAGGAGTCAGGGCAAAGAAAGGAGTTATGATCATCATAAAGAATCTAAGCAGACTTTTGTGTTTTTCCAGTGACGCAGCAGAGCGTGTAATCTACTGCTTAATGGAGAATGCTCTCAGTCAGAACACAGGCCTGTGGCATTTCTCAGCAAGTGGTTTGTGACCTCTGCCACACTGTTCTGTGTGGGACTTATAATCAGATTATACTAGTTATGAAAGTCAACTAGATTAGTATCAGTGGAGGGAGCTGGAGCACAAAGGCATCAATTCACAGCAGGAGAGGGGAGCTGATCAGCTTGAGGAGGATTGGTAATGTTTGCTAAATACACAAAGAGTGCAGTGTAGCAAGGCAAACAACGTAGAATAATGTAGACAGCTTAACTCAGCTCAAAACTGTACTTTTAAAATGTACTTTAGAATTGCATTGGAGTATCAGTAATCGTAATGTGCTCATAAATGTGCCCAAAATACTACAGCAATTTGTAGGTATTGTCAAGTAATACCAGAAATCGAGTATTCTGATTGGACAAGAGAATGTTTGTATGTTTGCAGATATTGCTGATGTAAATAAACTGTCACAAAACACTAATAAGTTGGTGACTTAAAGACCAGCTGTTTCATTCTAGCCTTGCACTTTTTTCGGTGTCGGCTTTTTAAATAAACAAGCCGACATACATTTGAGGCTGTAGGCTGTACCAATGGCCCTCATTTCCTATCATGCCTATAAAGGACCTACTAGTTAGTCACTCAGTCTGTGGTCTGTTTAGGTCTTCCGTCTTATGTTTACAAGTGTTACTTTTAGTTTATATTTTTACTTGCCAATTTAAACCCCAGTTCCAATAGAAAATGGAAAACATTTCAAAGGTTTAAAATGACACTTCACTTTCATAAAAATATGAGCTCATTTTGAATTTGATGCCAATAACAAACTTCAACAAAAATAGTTGGAACTGGAGTAACACAAGGCTGGAAAGGTAAGTGGTACTAAAAAGAAACAGCTGGAGGAACATCTCGCAACTGATCGGGTTAATGGTCAACAAGTCATTAACATGATTGGGTATAAAAAGAGCATCTTAGAGAGGCAGATTTTCTCAGAAGTCAACATGGGTAGAGGTTCGGCAATCTGTTCATTTCTTGAGGCTAGGCCGTCGGTCCACGTCTCTGCTAATTTCAAATGGACTGAGGCAAAGTAGAAAACTGTTCTGTGGTCAGATGAATGAAATCTGAAATTCTTTTTGGAACACATGGAAACTAAAGGGAGGAGGCACCATCCAGTTTGTTAACAGTGCTCAGTCCAAACGCCTGCACCTCTGATGGTACAGTGGTGCATTAGTGCCCATGGAATTAGCAGCTGGCATATCTGGAAAGGCACCATCAATGCTGAAAGGTATATACAGGTTTTAGAGCAACATATACTGACATCCACACAACATCCTTTTGAGGGAAGGCCTTGCATATTTCAACAAGCCACACGAAACTGAAACCACCAACTAAAAACATCTGCCACATCATGAAGCAAACATGAGATAAGTAGACCCAGGACTGTTGAGCTGCTAGAATCCTAAGTCAAATGATTGTGATTTTAATTTCTGTAGGAGTTTATTGTTTTTTAATAAATAGTGAGACAGCTGTTATATTTCTTTACACCAGCTACAGGAAATATACAGCAGTTTCTTTTTCATTCAGTGCTGCCTGCACACAACCTTACTGAGAGCCACTGAGGGAAATGGG